CCCAGTGCCAGGTGCGCTCACTGTGCCAGGTGTGCCTGCAGTGCCAGGTGTCCTACAGTGCCAGGTGCGCTCACTGTGCCAGGTGCGCTCACTGTGCCAGGTGTGCCTGCAGTGCCAGGTGTCCTAGAGTGCCTGCAGTGCCCACAGTGCCTGCAGTGCCAGGTGTCCTACAGTGCCAGCTGCGCTCACTGTGCCAGCTGCGCTCACTGTGCCAGGTGTGCCTGCAGTGCCAGGTGTGCTCACTGTGCCAGGTGTGCCTTCAGTGCCCACAGTGCCTGCTGTGCCCGCCGGTCAGTGTGCTATGGGCCTGGCTATGAGTCGATGGCTCGGCTCCCCCCGGCTCAAGAAGACTGACCTCCAGTCCTGCAAGTCCGGCTCCAGGTTTTCCCGCTACAGCACGCCGCCCCCGGCCCGGCTGGCCTGGATTCTGGACTCCGCACCCCTCCCTGTCCCCGGGTCCGAGATGGGGGTTCCCAGCGGCGGGGACTGGAGCCCCCAGCACTGCTCCCCCAACTTCTCCGTCTCGGCCGACAGGCGGAGTGTGCGCCGCCGGCCCGCAGAGTGCAGCACCGACGTGGCGAGGGGTTCGAGGGGCTGGGGGTCCGGACTGCACGTGTGGGAGGTGCGCTGGGCCCCCGGGGAGAGGGGCTCCCACGCCGTGGTGGGCATTGCCACTGAACACTGCCCCCTGCAGGCACCTGGGTACACCGCGCTTCTGGGCCAGGATGCCGAGTCCTGGGGCTGGGAGCTCGGCTCGAACGAGCTCCGCCACGGGGGAGTGCTGGTGGGCCAGTACCCCCACACCCTGGGAGAGGAAGAGTGGGCGCCAGAGCCGCCCCTCGCAGTGCCCCCCACCCTGCTGGTGGTCCTGGACGCCGACGCCGGCACAGTGGGCTTCGCCGTGGACGGGCACTTCCTGGGCGTGGCGTTCCGCGGGCTGCCGCGGCGACCCCTGTACCCGGCCGTGAGCAGCGTGCGTGGCGACGGCACGGTGACGCTCCGCTACCTCGCAGGGATGTCACGTGAGTGCTGGGCCGCCGGCCAGACAGCAATGGCAAACCACACCGGCACAGTGCAGGGGTTAGACTCCCACTGGGCAGCAGGCTGACCCACTGCAGGGGTTAGACTCCCACTGGGCAGCAGGCTGACCCACTGCAGGGGTTAGACT